GTACAGCTTCGGAGCGTTGTAGGCCTGGGCAGCGTCCCGGGGGCCCGGGGCGAGGACCTCCAGGCCCTTAGCCCCTGTGTGGAGGGCTAACGGGTCTCCTTGGGCTGGAAGTACCGCCTCCCCACCCCCACACGCCCCTCTAGCCCCACTTTGGGTTGCTCGGGACCCACCTCCGCCCCCTTCTCCAGGACGCTCGCTTCAGCTGTCCAGCCTCTTCTCCCTGAAGCCTTCACCCTCCTTTGCCCGCAGTGTTTGACCAGCTGCTTGCAGGCAGCATCTTCTGTCTACGAGGGTGCAGCCCCTGGCTGCCCCCAGCCCCCTATTTTCCTTGGGTACACACTCCTACATCTGCCCTGCGCTGCTCCCACAGCCCCTGCTGCTGCTGCTCTGTCCCCCGCCCCCCCTTTTTTTTTTTTTTTTTCCCCTCCTGGGTTTGCCACCTTTCATGTTGAGCCCACAATGAGTAAAGCCACTTCCTGTCCAAGGGTCTAGGTGCTCCTGTTCCCTGCGTCTGGGGTTGGCGCCCAGGTCCAGGTCCTGTAGCGGTGGCCTAGCTGCCCTGGCTAGAGAGGGGCTGCAGCGTGCACGGCTGCTCGCCCCAGGCCAGCCCCGATGACTGCAGGGGACAGTACCATCCAGAGCCCTTCAGGGACCAGGTGGGACTGCCCGACTGCAGACAGGGTCCTTTCGCCCTAACCCTTGAGCCAGCGATTCAGCTTCCGTTAAGATACCTACCGCTCTCAAAAGTCTTAAATCTGGTGGATTCTGTCCCCAATTCTGAATTGTTTTTCCTTTTTTAAAAAAATGGTAAGGATTTCATCAGGGCCTCTTGGTTCGACTTTTTTGGTGGAGGAGGGAACACAGAACACCACATGTTTCCTCTCTCCCCATATGTGATTTACTTAAAGTCCTCAGCATTTCTCCCCTCTCACTTTGTCCTGTTCTTCCTCTAATTTAGGTAGTTTCACGGTTGAAGGCCAGACTACCCAGGTTTTCTTTTCTCTTCTCTTTTCTTTTCTTTTCTTTTCTTTTCTTTTCTTTTCTTTTCTTTTCTTTTCTTTTCTTTTCTTTTCTTTTCTTTTCTTTTCTTTTCTTAAGAAGCCTTTGTGTGTTGCAGTCATGCAGTGTCTGCAGTTTTTCATAATCTGCTCAACAGTTAGTCTGCCATCCTGGCCCAGGACCGTCACAGTGTCCCAGAGGCCCTGGGTCCTAACCTGTGGGGCATTGTCGGGCTTGAGTGAAACTAACCATTCTCAATGACTTATTAAGCAGGGGGACTTTTCAATATTTCCTTTCATAATGAAAGATAAGTCATTCTCTTAAACTCTTGGTGTGTTAAAAATATCTTTATCCCATGGGAATTTCCTGTCTTTTCCTGTAGGGAGCCTGAAGAGTCCAAAAGTTCTCAGGGGTATGACAGAAACCGGCCAGAATGCTATCTGGGAGAGAGAATTGTAGGTCTTGAGAATTTGCGAAACAGTTTGTGTTTAATAACTAGAGACGTGAGCGGCACACCTCTAACAAGATGACTGACAAGCATATTCTTCATTCTCCCATTCTTCACTTTTCCAGGGGGGAAGGAACTGTTATGAAATATGTGGCATGTAGTTGGCAACTCTTAGTCATTAGGCCTTTGAGTTTTAACCTATGAGGAAATTGACTTTAAGTGAACAGGTTAATAAGAACTGAGTCAGGAGCTAGGGGCAGGTCTTAGAAATGGACTTCCAGGAGAGGGGGAAAGGCTAAAGGATAGTTTGAAGCCATCAGAACGATGATCTGTGAACTGGTTAAGAACGCACGTACCCTATTCTTACTCTATTTATTTGCTTGCTTATTTATTTATTTATTTGGAGAGGTTTCTGCTATTAGGGCGCGTGCACTCACCAGAAAGACAGAGAGAGACAGGGAGACAGAAAGCAAGAAGTCACACACACACACCCCCCAGGGGGGATGGCTAAGCCACAGTCCATTCTCCTCTCCGAGTTGAGCACGTGCGCACATGTGCCTGGTGTGAGTTTAAGCCACCAGGTCCAGGACTCGAACTGCATTCGACTACATGGGAGTCTAGCTACATGGCCATTATGCTAACTGCTGGTCCCTTGTTTATTTATTTATTAAGGTTTTTTTTTTTGCCATAGGGTGTATGGATTCACCAAAGAGAGGCAAAGTGAAAAATTACCCCTCAAGGGTGGCCATGCCACTGTCTCATTCTGCCCCCGGGATTCTAGGCACAAACGCACACCAGCGTGAGTTTCTTTTCTTTCTTTTTTTTTTTAAAGACAAATTTTTGCTATCTGCCATGTGTTCTTGCTGGAGAGACAGGAAGACAAGAGACAGAAAGTGAGGCATCACTCCCAGGGGGTGGGGGTGGGGGTGGTCACATGGCAATCTGTATTCTCTTCTTGGGATCTTGGGCAGCTACGCACATATGCCCAGCATGAATTTTATTTATTATTTTTTTTATTTTAAAGGGAGATTTTTTGATAGAGGGCACATGTGCTTGCTGGAGAGACAGAGACAGAAAGTGAGAAGTTATCCCCCTCAGGGGGATGGCCACCCTGCAGTCCCCTCTCCATTCTCCTCTCAGGATCTTGAGTACACACATGCCCTGTGTGAGTCTTATGTCACCCGGTCCAGAACTTGAACTGCGGTCGACTACACGGGAATCCAGTGAGCCAGTGATGTAACCATTATGCCATCTGCTGGTCCCTGGTGTGAGTTAATTTTCCAGGGCCAGTACTTGAACCATGGTTGACTATATGGGAGTCCGCTGATGTAACCATTACGCCATCTGCTGCTCCTGACCAGCGCGAGTTTCAAGCCACAGATGGCTATGTGGGAGTCCAGCACTGTAACCACCGTGCCACCTGCTGGTCCCTAACATGCTGTGTTCTTCAGGACACTAGGAGAGCTGTAGAGTGAAAAGCCATCAAAGAGTGATGCAAGGGTGTGTGTGTGTGGGGGGGGGTGGGCGTGTGGGGGAGGTCTCTGAGCTGATGCTGGTAAGTAGTCTTCTGGAGAAGGGGTGGAGATAGTCCTTGAAGTAGAATCAGATCTTAGGAGATCTACTCTTGGTGAAGATTTGAGTGTCTTTACACGTGGCTATTCCAGAGTGAGGAAAAGAATACGAACCAGAGGCCTTTCATAAAGCCCTAAAATGTCCTACTAATTTCTGCTAGCTATTTCATTTACTTCAGAAAACTTCCAATAACGTGTTTCTTTTCATTTCACTTTCATTTCTTCTTAAATTTCAGTAACTGTTTCTCCAAACACCTGTGATGATAGGACAGCTAAATGAAGTCAGGGAAAAGCAATGATTTTCCAGATGTCGAGGTTCCATGACACTAGTGACACTCAGGCAGGTGGAGCTGGAAATCTCAAGAGGGATGGAAGCAGGCTTACCTGTAGGCTTGATCTTTTTCCTGCCTGAATCACGTTCCTTTTCCTTTTCTGTTGCTTTCTTTCTTTTCTTTTTTTTTAAAGATTTTTTGCCATTGCGTGTGTGCTTCACTGGAGAGAGACAGAGACAGACAGTGAAAGGGAAAGTGAGAAATGATCCCCCAGGGGAGATGTCCACACCACAGTCCCTTTTCCTCCTGGGATTTTCAGCACGCACACACACATATGCCCAGTATGAGTTTTAAGCCACCAGGTCTGGGACTTGAAATGTAGTTGGCCATGTGGGAGTCTAGCGCCTCAACCACTATGCCATCCATCTGCTGGCCCTCCTTTTATACTTTCTATCTGTCAAATCTCTAGGGTGATGTTATCTAGGTAGAAGAGAAACAGGATTAAAAAATTTGTAATTCAGGAAATAGAAGAGGAATATGGAGTCTCACGTAGCAGCCTGCTTACCTCTCTGATACTTAGGCCATAATGCACACTGTAGGGTACTGCTCACGTGCACCCAGATGACCCACTAAAATCCCAAGGATGGGGCCCCAGGAATTGGTAGAGTCTGTTGTAGCGTGGAAGCAGCATATACATAATAACAAAATCTGAGAAACGCAGCAGTGCACATAATTCGTAACTGAATGAGCACAACTGTTCCACTAAAACTAGATTTACGAAAACAAGCAGCTGACTGTAGCTTGCCACTGTCGGCCCTCGAATAAACGCCACCCTTCACACCACACAGGCCATTCCTTGGGTATATTCCTCCATCTGACTGTGTCCAATACCTCTTAGTCTGGTCAGTGATATTAAGGATTAACATCCTGGACGTTTGCTTTGTTGACTGTTTCTCTGTTATCCTATCCTCTTACGTTTTCATCATTTTAACCTTTTTCTCCAAATCCTTTCAAACATTTTTTTTCAACAAATACTTGATACTGTAAGGAAGTAATTAAAAAATGTGAGGTTAGAATTATGTCCCTAGT